CTCTTTCCTGGTAAAGAAATAAGTTGCAGAAGAATTGGCAAATGGCTTTTAATAGCTGACATGTACTGTTTAATATATTACCTTTATTCTCCTCCAGTAGTTAATGGTAGACTGCGGGAGACCAGAGCCATTGATTTTGTTACAGGTGCCAACATAGATTCGTCTGGTGTGTGTTGACTTTAGGAAGCCTTTCTAAAAGTATTAAATATAAAAGAAAGCTAAGCTAAGCAAACATTAACAAGACATTCTGTGTTATTAAATCATTATACAATTATAGAACTGTAAAATTGCATGAAACAATATGTTATGGCTTGTTGTAAGCCATGAGTTCTATAATTTTGCAAGTGACCTATTTCTTTCTCTTTTTTCTTTCTCTTATGAATTAATTTAAAATATCCTTATGAGTTCAGTAACTGCCTTCGTTCTGCCCTGCTTCCCAAAGTATTTTCCACACTGTCTCAAATGTCCTCTTATTCACATTTTTTTTCTTGACATGGATACTGTAGAGCAGTATATTGGGGAATCTAATTCTAATGTAAAAACACCAGGCAGGCCCCACAAATAACCCAGAGATGCATTTTAAATAAAAGCACACATTCTACTCATGTAAAAACACGCTGATTCCCGGACCGTCCGCGGGCCGGATTGAGAAGGCGATTGGGCCGCATCCGGCCCCCGGGCCTTAGTTTGCCTATCCATACCCTTGGCTGTATCTGTTTTGTGTGTGCTGCAGCAGCACCGGCAGCAGTGGAAAGTTTGTTATTTTGGTGCGCACACCATGTGTGTTTGTGTTTGCTCTCAGTCGCTGCCTTTGTGGAGGAGGTCAGCCGGGGGGGCGGATTGGGTTTGCCTCGGGGGTGACTCAAAAGCCATAAAGCATAAGTAGTGACCGGGGACATGTGTGTGGAGATGGGCTTCTGGGCTGGGATATTTCAGAGTCTGTTCCTGTGTCTCCACCTCTTCTTTTTATCCCCTCCCCCTCTTCGTGTGCATGCATGTGTTTTAGTTTAAACTTAAATTCCCGGGTGCACATCTGCTGTGCCCACCTATGTCCTGACATCATATATGAGATCAGGCATGGGAAACTTCCAAATTTTGGAATAAAAATATTGGTGCTTTTTAACTTTGGTGCCTTTTTCTGTCTTTCTGCACATCGCAGCAGAAAAGGCACTGAATTAAAAAGGCAGCTGTCAGGGGCTCAGGAGCAGAGACACAGGGGAGAGAGGGGATGGAGAGCGAAGGGGAAGAATCTGAGGGCAGCATAGGGGAGTATGAAAGCGGCCCGAGAGATTCCATGAGTCTCTCCAGCGAATCAGAAGATTCCCAGAGGGGGGCACCGATGGCCAGGGCAAGGGGGGTCCCAGGGGGGACACACCAGAAGCAAGGGGCCAGCGGGGACTCCCAAAGCAGCAGCGGGAGAGCAGGACCAGCTCCTCCACCAGAGCGTAGTGAGGGGGAAGAGTCACATGTATCAGGGCCAGCTTCTCCTCCAGCAGGGAGAGAGGATGAGTCAGAGGTGGCCACGCCTCCATCGCAGAGTGAGGGAACGGAGGGAGAGTCAGGTGCAGCTAGCCTCCCCGAAGGGGGAAGCAGTGACAGGAGCAGTGTAACGGTCAGGAGGAAGGTGGCCGGCTGGGCGCGCGCGCCAAGTTCGAATGTACAGGCGCGCGGCACAGCAGGAAACCCGGATGGGGAACCAGGTCCTAAAGCCCGCCGGAGGGAGGGGGAGGACTCAGGAGACTCAGCGTCAGAAGAGTCTAGGAGAGGCGAGACCCCAGCGGACAGGCGGGCCCAGAGGAGAAGAGAGCAGAGGAAGAGGTGGAGCAAGGCTAGAGTCTTAAACTGGTGTCTGGGGGGAGGAGACTCAGACGGAGCTTCGGCGGTCTAGAGTTTGAGACGTAGAGCTGCGCGCCGCGGCTGTGAAAAAGAAACTGAGCTTCAATAAAGACTGTTTTATATAACAACGAACTGGCGTTGGTCCTTTGTGAGCTGGGACCTCGGGCAGCTCTGACAGCAGCAAATGTTTGATACAACAGGAGAATCAGGAGAACACTCAGTGAATTCGAGTTGGCCAGTGCAAATGATCTCCCTCTGTAAGGGCTTTCTGTAAGCACCGATTAGTTGCACTATGGAATTTTGTTTATTGCATGTTTTACGTATTTTTCGCTCCACAAGGCGCACCTGACCATAAGGCACACCTAGTTTTTAGAGGGGGAATTCAAGAAAAAAAATGTTATTTAAAGGGAGCACTGAGCAGAGCGTGTATGCATCCCAGGCTCTGCTCAGCACTCCCTTTCACGAGCCGCATGGATTGTGTTTGTGGCTCTTGGGGGCTTTTCCCCAAGGAGGGACAAGGGCAGCCCGTCAGAGCCGCGCTCTGTCCCTTCCCCCACCTTCCACAAAAGCCAGGGATAGCGCGCGAAGCCTCCACAGGGCAGCATGATGAAAGCTCCCTGCTGCCCTGCGGAGGCTTTGCGTCGCTAAGGCAGAAGCTAAAACAGCTAGAGGGAAGAAGAAAAAGAAGAGTTTGGATTTGATATCCCACTTTATCACTATCTGAAGGAGTCTCAAAGCGGCTAACATTCTCCTTTCCCTTCCTCCCCCACAACAAACACTCTGTGAGGTGAGTGGGGCTGAGAGACTTCAGAGAAGTGTGACTGGCCCAAGGTCACCCAGCAGCTGCATGTGGAGGAGCGGGGAATCGAACCCGGCTCCCCAGCTTACGAGTCCACCGCTCTGAACCACTACACCACACTGGCTCTTCATCCCGCTGCCCTGCGGAGGCTTCGCGGGCTACCCCAGAGCTGCTCAGGAGCTTGTCGGGGCTGGCGGGTGAAGCCCGGGTCCCCTCCCCCAGCCCCAGGACCACACATTTGCTCCATAAGACGCACAGACATCTCCCCTTAGTTTTTAAGAGGAAAATAGTGTGTCTTATGGAGTGAAAAATATGGTAATTTTTGTAAGCCACTTTGAGACCCAAATGTGGTGAAAAGCAGAGGAGATTATGTTGGTGATGATTATGACAACAACAGTCTTAGATCACAAGTATCCCCCAAGCTATGCCACTTTTCCTTCAAGGGAAATGCAACCTTTCCAGAATTGGCACCAAACAAGCATGGTCCTGGAACCAAAATTTGTAAGCCTTAGACTAACAGTCAGTCAGTCAGTCAGTCAGTCAGTCAGTCTTTAAGATCACTTGGAAGTGAAAGGTAAGGCACTTGTGGCTTTTCTTACCAGTTTGCCAAACTCTTGTGATACACCCTTCCCCACTTGCAATAGCAAGCAGGACTCTGTCCCGTACAGCAGGCAGGGGTCAGGTGGCTTAGAGGACCAGAGGAAAAACAGATCATCGAAGCCGCCATTCATTAGAGAACTCTTGGTTATAATCTAGTAGCAACGCTACCCAAAGCAAATTCAGCAAGTCAGATGAATCTGTTGGAAGGATTTACAGAGGGATTGCTTAGCAGTCAAAGGTTATTGTGTTTTAGATTTTTTCAAAACTTTCCCCACCATTTGGTCTACATGGAATTTTTAAAAATGTAAATAGCACAAGACTGGAAGAAATCAGAAGCACTGGAAATAGAATTTAATGGATATCATCATTTTCCACAATGCAGGTCCCTAGGTCCATGTATCTAGGCCCATTTGTTATATGTGTGCAAAAGTTATGTGTGATAAACTAATAGACTAAATTTTTATTTCTTTTTTCTTTTTGCTATATATTTTTTTCTTTTTACTCTCTCTCTCTCTCTCTCTCTCTCTATATATATATATATATATAATTCCAGTTCTTTAAAAATGCAAAGTCAATATTTTACTAAATCCACCCCTTTCCTCATAATTTTCCACAAGAATGATAGTTTTTGCTGTTTTGATAAAGACAGAAAACTGAGAGAGATTGCATATTATTGATTGGAGGAATTATGGAGCAAGAGTATGAAAAAGAGACTTGAGGAATTAAATTAATTAGACTCTTACCTATGCTCAGTTGACTTGCATTTCTATTAAGGTTAAAGGGTGTTTCACAAATGAACTGATAAGCTGAGTTTACAAAGCGCTCTCTCGTAGACTTCCTCCTGGTTCATCTTATTATATGACAATAATAAAATTCATTATCTCCTTTGTTTCAGTCATAATTGTGTTGTGTTGCCCTATACATTTCTTCTGCTGTCTCCATATTATAATTTGTTCTATAAAGGCATACATAAATATGATAAACAAATTAAACTCTTAAAATAAATTAATTTCCTATGCAACGCTATTCAAATCTTATATGCTCACTGGATTTCGCTTTAATGAAGCCCTTCAGAACACAGCAAGCCAAACAGTAAAATTGCCTAGGTTCTTCAAGCATCAGCACTGTAATCCTAAATTTAGCTGTTGAGATCCTGGACAAAAAGGCACTGTGAAAAACAAAATAAATAAGAATCTATGCTAATGTGGTCAATTTACCTGTAGTGTTTTTTTAAAAATAAAAGAAAGCAAACAAGTAGAATATACTTAAATTCCTCTCATTGGCCTGATTCTGGTCACATGGCAATGAGGTGACAAAGACCATGCAAAACTCTGCACCTTGTTTTTTGCACGGGTAGCATGCATTGGGGTTGTATAAATGGGGGCATTAGTTTAAGATTAAAATTCAGATCTGTCGGGTAATTCTGAGTGCTTCTTCATTTTCTAGAAACATGCTCAGTTAACTTTGCCACGCCATATACCCAAAGAGCTGTTAGATTTGAGCCTTTGTTGTCACCCTCACACAGGCTAATCTAGAGTGGTCCAGCCATGGACAGATTACATCTCCAGTACTTGTCGATTTCTTTGAGGGGTGAGGCCCGAAATGCCCATTATTCAGATTACGTTCAGTTTGGGATCTGTGAGTGTGAAATGGCTATGGAAGGAAGCTTGCCTGTGTTTGATAGTTCTAATGGGTACAAGACATGAAGGTTCTGAAAAGTAAGATTGCTTTACGTGGATTTTTGTTTGTATTTTGTGTTATGCAGGAACGCGTTCCAGACAGCCCTTCCCCTGCTCCATCCCTCGAAGAGGGCCGAAGGCCGGGTAGCCACCCATCCTCTCATCGTAGCAGCAGTGTATCCAGTTCTCCTGCCAGAACCGAAAGTTCTTCAGACAGAATCCGTAAGTTACGTTGTGTCTTCTTTTCCCACTTAAAATGGCCAAGCTGGCTTTAGGTGTTTCGATTTTGCCAACAAAAACTACCTCTCGGTATTCTATCCCCCAGTGTGCTGCATCACGTGGTATGATGCTGCCATTTACAGAACCGATGGAAACTGGTGACATAGGGGATTAAACATGGAGGTGTGAAATATAGAAGTGTTTCACAAAAAATCAACATTCCCTGTCATTGTGCCATGGGTGTGGTTGAGTCCACCGAACACATTCTCTTGACTTGCCTTTCTTATGCAGAGCTTAGACAAAATTTTATAGACCCACTCCTATGTCAATTTAGCTTCCTACCCGGAGAAAACCAGGCTTTACACTTGCTGAATAATGTCACTAGAGCTATACCTTCCTTGGTGGCCAAATTTCTTTTTTTAGCTTTTAAGCGTCGCAAGACTATAATTGACTGTATTGATATGGGGCTATCTGTTTAGCCCATTTTAGTGTTGGCTAAGTTCTAAAATCTTCCTGGATGTTTTAACTATGTATTGACAAATGTACTTTTTTCTGACTGACGGTCGAATAAAAGGTTGATGATGATAATCAACATTCACTTATCAAGCATGCCCAGTTTATGATACGCTAAGCTAGAGATGGAAAACCTATTTCCCAGTGGGGTCCTCATAACCCCAGTAGAAAGCTGTTGGGCCTCATTCCACTAGTGGGTGGGGTTTAATATGCAAACACACACACACACAGAGAGAGAGAGAGAGAGAGAGAGAGAGAGCTATTTCCCACAAAGACAAGGCAATATATTTAATTCACAGTAAGGTAAAGGGACCCCTGACCATTAGGTCCAATCGTGACCAACTCTGGGGTTGCGGCGTTCATCTCGCTTTATTGGCCGAGGGAGCTGGCGTACAGCTTCCGGGTCATGTGGCCAGCATGACTAAGCCACTTCTGGCGAACGAGAGCAGTGGATGGAAACGCCATTTGCCTTCCCACTGGAGCGGTACCTATTTATCTACTTGCACTTTGAGGTGCTTTCGAACTGCTAGGTTGGCAGGAGCAGGGACCGAGCAATGGGAGCTCACCCCGTCACGGGGATTCGAACCGCCGACCTGATCGGCAAGTCCTAGGCTCTGTGGTTTAACCCACGGCGCCACCCGCGTCCCTTAATTCACAGTAACTCCACTTAAATTTCACCTTCTGTTCTCTTCATAGCCTTCTTTTTTTGTATAAAAGTTATTAAAACGTCAACATCCTTTATCTTTTCTAACTGAAAAGGCAAAATCACCATCATCATCTCAGCAGAAGATGCAAATGATACCAATTCAGAGCTGCAACTTCCTTACAGCTATTTAAAATACTAGACTTGAAGATGCAATTGCATCCTGAATTGTATGCATGAAGTTGGAAAAATGCATAAAACGCATGGATGACTTTTCACATATTTTCAGGGAACACCAGTCTGCTGAGACAGTTCGGCCTCTGCTTTGATCTTCTTGCTGCAGATCTTCTTACACAGGAAGGTGATGCAGTCTCACACTTTGCCCAACATTAAAGCCCCTTTGCCTCCTTGCTGAACAGCTGATGGGGGACTGAGAGGGCTGGATGAAATCTGGCTGTGGGCTGAATCTGGCTGCTGGTAAGGGGTTTTCCGCCCTTGCACTAAGCCAAACAAAATATAGCAGTCATAGTATAGGCTACCAAGTGTTTGAAAATACTCTCCCTATTTGTTCATCCCCAGGTAAACCACAAGAAACCAGGAGATTTATCTAGTGCTTGGTGGGTTTCCATTTATGTTCAGAGGTGTGCTTAGCAGGTCACAACTTGCGTAAACGTGGGCTAGAACAATTTTAAGGACACTTTAATGCACACTTATATCTTAATGCTGTTATATTTTACTGCCTTGAAAGAGGCAGTGATTTTGACCGCTACTGCCCAGTTGCAAATGCCACCTTTTGAGGGAAGATGTTGAAGAAGTTTGTGGTGGCACAACTGGGAGCACTCCTCCCTGGGTATGGGACTTAATCGGCTTGGTCACCCTTATGGAGGACCTTTATTGAGAGACCTTTCTTCTTACTTTATCTCTCATTGACTTCTGATATCATTGACCATGCTCCTGAAGGACTTGATGTACTGTTTTACAGTGGTTCTGATCCTATCTTCAGGATCAATCTCAGAGAATAGTGTTGGGTGATTATTTTTCAGCCCACTGGCAGTAATGTTGTGGGGTGCTTCGGGGTATCATGGTATGGAATTGAAGCTTTTGCGAGCACTCATTGGGAGATTTGGAGCAAAAGGTCATCAGTGCACCTCAAACAATTTGCTTATGCCTAGGGCTGATGATACCCAGCTCTGTTCCTCTGTAACATCTGAATCAGCATAGGTGGTGCAAATTTTCAGCCTTCGCCTAGACTCAGTGGTACTCTGGATCAAAGCCAATAAACCATAAGCCTGCATTATGGCAAGACAGAGGTGTTGTGGCTGAGTCCTGATAATTGGTCAGTGGCCTGCTTTGGATGGGGTCGTTCTGTCCCTGAAGGAGGAGGTTCTTAGTCTGGGGGTGTTCCTGGAACTGTCACTTCCTCATAAATAGGCAGAAACTATGTTGTTTGACAAAGCTGTCGTGAAATTTACTAGGACTAATATGTTTCTTTTCGGTTTTTGTTTTATCTGTTTGGTGCTGGCAGCTGTCCATCAGAACGGCTTGTCCATGAACCAGATGTTGATGGGCTTATCACCGAATGTCCTACCTGGTCCAAAAGAAGGTGACCTGGCTGGCCATGATAGCGGACATGATTCTAAAAGAATGCACATGGAGAAAGGTAGGCATTTGTTTTAACTTGCTGCACTGTTGCTTAAAAGGAACAAATATTACACTCCAGGCATCGTTAATACTAGTGATTCTGGTTCTTTGTGTTAATCCTGCTGTTGTTGGTGCTCACGTGAAAGCACTGATGGAGGGGGAAAGCCAGCTTCCTGTCTCTCCTAGAAGATAACATAATTCCTTTTGTGTGTGGGTGTACATGCTCGTGTAGTACATTAATTATTTTAATAGTGTAAAAATTAAATTGTTGAAATTATTTAATAATGGCACCATAAAGAGGAGGAAAATGATTTAAATCTCTCAATAAAATGCAGATGTGAAAAATGTAGCCCTTATCTGTTCCATTTCTTAGTGCCTGTTCTTTAGAAATATTTTATTAAGAAATTATTTTATATAATTGCTGTGTGTCTGTAGTTGATCAAAGAAACAGTCGCTTAAAGTCAACCACTATGAGATAACTGTTGATGGCCATGTGTGTGGAAGGAAGAGAGACTAAATTACTTAGCTCCTGCAACTGTTAATAGTGTAAAATGAGACTGGCGGATATCATGTAATTTATTTTAAATTTAATCAGCCATCTGACTGAAAGTGTATGAGCTAGATTAATGTCTATTAGTATTTCTATTGATTAGTGTGCCATCTTCTCATTTGGTTTATATAGACTTGCTCAGTACCTTCCTTCGGCACAGGAAACATTAACCAATAATATTATTATTATTATTTAAATTAGAGAAATACAGACTATGATTTTGTGTACCTGATATATAGATATATAGCAACCTCTGTGGAACTGAAGGATAATGAGATAATAGAGACTCAACTCAAAGGCGACAGCTTGGTGGCAATGCTGGATGAAGCCATAACAGCAAGTGCTATGGTACATCTGCATGGAATTGCTGCAGTAGTAAAGATTTTAAAAGAGGACATATTTTTTTGTGGTATCGTTTTAATAGATACAAAAGGTTCCCAGCTCTGTCCTGTGCAACTACTGTGAGATATGGGAAGTGAATTAAAATCTGGACACTTCCATTCTGGACAGGTGGCATCTTTAATAAGATTACACTAAAAATTAATGAGAACAACATTTCTTTTATACAAATCATTAATTTCGGTTCATTGCGCACACAACCTGTTATGGCTTCTTGCATGTGCCCCACTTAGAACAATATCCATGCTGAGAGTGCAATATGAACAGACCTGTTTTTGAATTTTTAGGGACACTCTCTCCCTCTCCATGCCCCTCCTGCAGCCTGTTCAAGTTTTTGGTATAAATGTGCATGCATGCCATCTTCTGAAATTTCAGTAGACTCCCTGTGAAACAGTTGGAAATTTTGCATTATTTCCATTAAAAATGGAACTTGTTAATGGTTCATAAAAGTGTCCCAAATGTATATCATTTTTCAGTAATGAGCTTAACTAGATGAAATTGCTGAGAGTTCTTTTTCTTCTGCAGTAATTGTTTAGGTCACAGCCTTCCTTTGTCCCCCTTCCTTCATGCAAACACCCCCACACATCCTCTCTCTTTCTGGCTACTGGATTAGTTGTAAATATTCATGGGTTATCTAGATTTATAGGGTATACTAAATTAAAAATTGTTTTCTGTCATGACTGCATTTATCAAATCTCCTGAGCCGGCCCTGCAACTTTTAGGCCAGGCTTACCTGTATTAAAACAAGCAATTTCACTTAGATATTTGCGGAGATAGTAATTATCTGTTTGCATCATTATGGACCTGCAGTTCAGATATGCAATTTTGTTTCTGACCACCTTTAATCACTCAAAATCATTAATCATTATTACAAGTGGAGAAACAAATGCAAACGAAATAGATTCAGGCATTTATATTCTTAGGATGGAAAATGCCTTCTTTGCATCCCTTTTCTATTTTTTTTAAAATAAAAAAATCATGGAATTTTTGAGCCTTAGTCATTAAGCGTTTGTGTTTTCTTCGAAGACATATTTGTGCTAATCCATCAATCAGAGCTGAAATGACTTTTAATAATTACAACCGTGAGATGTTTCGAAACCTCTTGAAGTTGTGCCTCTCTCCCACCCGTCTTCTCCTCCTCCTTTTTAATTCAAGTATACTTAAATTTCAGAAAAAAGGACAATTTATAATCTGCAGTATGTTAAAAAAATTGCTTAAGACAGTAGGCATGTTAGTGAAATATATTTCAGGAGAAAAGTATTCTATTATCACCTTCACGTCTTCTGAAGTAGCCAAGGTTTTTACTGATTTGAATGATTTTACTAAAAGGTTTTTTTTCCCTCCTTTACATTTAAAATTGTTATTATCCAGTCACACTGAGTCAAAGATACCTGTGGATTTTAACCAGTTAAATAGATTGTTTACAGAAGTGTATTTGTTTCATAATTTTTTGTTAGTCAATTCCCCTGCAATTAAATCTTAAGTATATCTCACTTGATTTACAACCAGTTCTAGCCTGTTGCTCATATGTACCGTACCTGTGACAGATCTCCAAGCTGAGCTGCCCCTGTCATTAGAAAGCATGATGTAAGCATCTCAGGGGGCAGATTTTGAGATACGATTGTGTAGCAAGCTGCCAAGTCATATTATCACATGCTCACCACCATAAGGAGCAGAATCATTTGCTGTGATTCTTGGACTTCAGTAGTGTAGCAACTGGTTTGGGGCCGTGTTGCTCTCCTGACCTGACTTCCCAATGCCCCACATCAAGAGGGGCAGCAGCAAGGCAGTCGGGAGCTAAGAATGGTGCAAGTACAGGAGGGAAGCCAATCCAGCGTTCCCAGCGCTGAGCCCTCACCATGCTGAGCTCCCCACTGACATGCTCCCTTCCTTCTCAATAACTCACTGTGTTCCACAGCCTTGTGAAATCAGAACAACACAGCCCCATGTGCAATCCCCCCCCTCCCGGCTTCTACCATCCGCCTCGGCCCAAGGATACCTTGGTATAAATGTCCTGCAACTAAGTAGTGTAATCAATTGTAGATGCTGGGAGAATCATTAAAGAGTTTTATGCATTGCTCCGTGCATTGGAAATGCAATTTATTGTCCTTATGTTACGGGTGGTGCTGTGGTCTAAACCACTGAGCCTAGGGCCTTGCCGATCGGAAGGTCAGCGGTTGACATCCGCACGACGAGGTGAGTTCCCGTTGTTCTGTCCCAGCTCACCTAACAGTTCGAAAGCACATCAAAGTGCAAGTAGATAAATAGGTACCGCTCCAGCGGGAAGGTAAACGGCGTTTCTGTGCGCTGCTCTGGTTTGCCAGAAGCAGTCATGCTGGCCACATGACCCGGAAAAACTGTCTGCAAACAAACACCAGCTCCCTCGGCCTATAGAGCGAGATGAGCGCACAACCCCAGAGTCGTCCGTGACTAGACCTTTACCTTTTTATGTACTTATTTCCTTTAATTTTTCACTCTTTGGTACACTGTCAGTATCTGCAAAAGTTACTTAAATTAAATATGAAGATTTGTCAGTGGAGACCATGTGCATATTAGACATCAGTAACCTTAAAACAGCTATCTATTTTTTAGGTTTCTGGTATAGCCTGTACAGTGGTGCCCCGCAAGACGAATGCCTCACAAGACGGAAAACCCGCTAGACGAAAGGGTTTTCCGTTTTGGAGGTGCTTCGCAAAACGAATTTCCTATGGGCTTGCTTCGCAAGACGAAAATGTCTTGCGAGTTCCTGCAGGTTTTTTCCCCTCCCCCCCTTTTTCCCAAGCCGCTAAGCCGCTTATCAGCTGATCCGCTAAGCCGCTTATCAGCTGATCCGCTAAGCCGCTTAACAGCTGAGCCGCTAAGCCGCTTATCAGCTGAGCCGCTAATAGCGCTAATCCGCTAAGCCGCTAACGGGCTTGCTTCGCAAGACGAAAAAACCGCAAGACGAAGAGACTCGCGGAACGGATTCTTTTCGTCTTGCGAGGCACCACTGTATTAGATATTACTTATTATTATTACTGTATTAGATAGTACTTAGAGCCCGGATGGCTCAGTTGGTTAGAGCACAGTGCTGATAATGCCAAGGTTGCAGGTTCTATCCATGTATGGGACAACTGCATATTCCTGCATTGCAGGGAGTTCGGCTAGATGATCCTCAGGATTCCTTCCAACTCTACAATTCTCTGATTCCATGATTTAAAAATACTGCCAGACAGAAAATATGCAGTGTCATAGTGGTGAAATTCTGTCTTTGAAATGTTGAAATAATTTCCAACGAGATAGTTTAGGCGTTGTTGCAAATCATCAGCAAAACAAATGTTCATAGGAGAATGAATATTGGTTCTAAAATGTATAATTTTGAAAATTTCCCCCACTCCATAGTTTTACAGAGACACTGTGCTTAATAGGGTAATAACACACACACTTTTATCTGCATCTGTTTATATTTCCTAGAATGGCATCAATGGTAAACGAAGCCTGAATGTCACTCTTCACTTTATACTGAATATGCTTGAGATTCTAATCAGAAGGATCTTTCTTAAGCTGAAAATTGTATAATGGTTTAACTTTTAGGTAAAGGGGGGCGGGAAAGAATAACCACAAACTTATTAACAATTGATATTTAAACCCAGAACTCAGTGGATTTTTTGTCTTGAGATTTTTTCCCCTCAACAACCAATAATATACTGTTATAGACAATTAACAATACTTGATTCAGATGCATCTTATCATAAACCTTCAGTTTAAAATTCAAGAGAATTCCCTTTGTTTACGCAAATAGACCTTATGTGTGCCTAGAGAGGCATAATGAAATTCTACATAACTAAATCAAAATATGTCCTAAGGCAAAAAGTATTCCTGAATACATAAAAAGGAAGAAGAAGAAACTTCAGTGCTTTTAGTGACTTATAACCTCATCCCTTTCTTCCGTTTCCTGTTAAGAATCTCTGGCAAACTATTTTGCTACCGTAATATCTCCAACCAATTCAGCGTATCTGCACACAGTCTTTACTTAGTGAGTAAAGAAAATATTAATAGCGGGATGACTCCAGAAATAACCTTGGAGGTTA